TTTTTTTTTTTTTTTTTTTTCATTTTAGTCTATTCTTATGATAAGTTTGGAAGTTCCAGATGACACCTCTATTTGATGTTACCATAACCAATATCAAGCTTGCAACACATGGTCGTCTAGAGGCAATGAATGCTGTTCTAATTTCCTCTATTGCTGCTTCGACCTTCAATGCTCAGTTAGAAGCATGGGAGCCACTGGTGGAGCCATTTGATGGAATATTCAAGTAATTTTTTTTGTAGCTATTATTATTATGTAGTTTTGATTCACACTTGTTTTAGTTGATCTTGCCCTTCCTTTGATATTATTCCATTTCTACTTTCAAGGTTGGAAACATATGATAACAATGTACATCCACCATCAAGAATTGCAAAGAAAGTACGGGTCGCTGCAACCAGTATCATGAACATAAATGTCAGTGCAGCAAATCTTGAAACTTTTATAGGGACCATTCTCTCTTGGAGAAAACAGTTAGAACTTGATCAGAAAGCAGTGAAGCTAATTGAGGTGCAAATGTTTTTCTTCTTTGATGTTTTTGTAGTGTCACGAGTTGATCATATTTTGATGCACAAACATATGCTTTCTAGATGTTATTAACTTGCTTTTTTCAGGAAGCTGTTTGTCATCTTAAACATGAAGAGGACCCAACTTTTTCTGCCTTGGATGAAGATGATTTTCAGACTGTAATAATTGAAAATAAACTAGGGTGTGATCTGTATCTGAAACAAATTGAGGACAATACAGATACAATCAGTCAACTACACAATGATGACTGTACTTTTGTGTGGATCCCACCTCCAACATTTTCAGACAATCTAAAGGTTGTGGATAGATCTAGGGAAGCACGCTGCTATGTTGTCATTCAAATACTTGAAGCCAAGGTTACAGTTGCTGAAATGTTTTTAGTTCATTCTACACTTCATGGTTGTATATTTTTATTACTGTTGGGGAAGTAAAGATGAGTCTTCCTACTTCTTGCAGGGTTTGCCCATTGTTGATGATGGTAACAGTCACAAATTCTTCTGTGCTGTGCGCCTTGTTGTTGATAGTCAGGCAACAGACCAGCAAAAGCTCTTTCCTCAGAGTGTGAGGACAAAATGTGTGAAGCCTTTGCTTCAAAGAGAACATGAAATCAGTAGTGCCACTGCAAAGTGGAATGAACTTTTCATATTTGAAATTCCTCGAAAGGTATATCATGGTTTGATTTGTTCATTCCATGCTTTTCAAATCTGTTCTTAAAGTCTGAAACACATGTTGCTATTGATCTGCCATTCTAGATGACTAACAGCCACCAGTTTGGGAATGGTGCTGAAAATAGTCATTTTGTAAGGTTTAGATTTATACGTTATGAGCATCCATGGATTGTTTCTTCTATTTACTTAATGCCATAGTAAGTGACAATCTTGGGATGAATTTTGGGCCCTAATACCTCAGCCTTGTTTTGTTTGTTGGTAAAGCAGCCGATTCCCACCCAACCCCCCATCCCTGCATGCAGTATCAGAGTTGAGTTATATCCTTTACTTTGGGACACCTTCTTTATAGGTAAATTAAATCAAGGGTTCTATCACAATTTACAGTGTGTAGGGTATGTGTGTAAGGGGTTAAATATTACAAGGGAAACTATTAATTTTGTTAGGTGCCAAATTTGTAGAAGGGAAATTCTTAAGGAGTTAAAAAACTATCCCCCAAATGGTGCAAAATGTAGAGTAAATTTATCCTTCATAAGGGAGGAGTGAAAGGTTCCATTTCGGTTGGGCGGGGGAGGGGATTTGTCTTGCCTTTTTTCTCTTACATTTATTTCCCATCTTTTCTGTCTTTAACCTTGCAATTTCTCTCTTTCCTCAAATTCATAATTCACCCATTTTTTAAAGGGTACCAAACACAACCTTAGCTCTGCTTTTCTCACTCCTAATTATAAATGATTGCATTTTCCTTGAATCACTCTTTTTCACAGTGGCTGTTTTTTAGCATATTTATGATTATTGTTTGGAGCATTTGTGCTGATTGTTGAATTTTGTCAGCCATTCTCACTTCATGATGTATTGTTGTTACTTAGAATAGAATGTCAAGGTGAAACAATTGTAGATCTATCAACTTTCCTTTTTTCTTTTCATTTTTTGGCAATGTCTCAGTTTTGGCCCTTCATAGATTTGGGCTTGGTGAAATTCAAATAAATCTGTGATGAATAGCTTTTACTTTTATTTGTGTTTGTTGACAATTTACATGTATGGGTCCAAGGCATTTGTATTTGTAAAGCTCATTTAGATTTGATACTGAAGGTGCATAAGCATTTGTATACTGACCAATACTCATCAAAGCACGGTCAAGTTTCTATAAGCTACACCCACCCTTCTTTTCCTTTGTGATAATATCAACCAGGGAGCGAGCTTTATTTATTCTTTGCTTGTTAATATTTCTTTCTTTCTTTCTTTCTTTTTTTTTCGGGTAGGTTTATCCAGCATTATTTTTATCATGGATGTCCAACATTTATTTCCATTGCATCCCAGTCTTTTTTTTCTGTTACTACTATTCATGCACGTTATCGATGTTTCTGTTTTTCTTTGTATTCTTTCTGATTTGAAATTTTCAACAGCTATGGAAGTTATTTTATGGAATTTTTTTGGTGAATGCAGCAGGGAGTGGCTAAGTTAGAAGTGGAGGTGACAAATCTTGCAGCAAAAGCTGGAAAGGGTATGTTTTGATGGCAGATTAACCTCTTAACTAGAGCTTTCTCCCCATAAGTTTATTATGCATGAAAGAATCTGATTCTTGTTTTGTGCTCATTGCTTGGGCTGCTGATTCGATTGCTCTGTTTATTTTGAAATAAAGGTTGAGACACTTGGAAAATTTTAACTTTCAGTTACTGGATGATCAATCCCATGGTTCTTTTCTCTGATTCATTATCCTCTTAATCATTTGTCTCCTTAGACTCTTTCAGTGTACAGTGTTTTAATATGCCTTTGCTGTTTGTAGATTTGTTCTTTGTAATCCTGTATTTCTATACATGTTTAATAATTGTGATGTTGTACATACCAAGTGAATTATCTCTATTCTAGAATTCTGTGCAGTAAGCTACAGCGGTCAAGATTTCATTTCCTTCTGTCTTGTTTTATGCTTTTTGTCAAATGAAATTTTTGTGTCAGCAGAAATGATTATGAACACTTATGATGCAGGTGAAGTTGTAGGTGCCCTCTCCCTTCCTGTTGGACAAGGAGCAGCCATGTTGAAGAAGGTGGCTTCTGCAAGAATGCTACATCAACCACATGATTTTCAGAATGTTATGTCATGTCCATTAAGAAGAAGGGTGAGCTATGCTTATTCATAATTCTGTGTTTGGTACAGTTACATGTATACCTTCTATGTTGGTGGTTATTCTGTTTTCTTTTTGTCATTCTTTCAGGCTCCACATGATGATGTTGAACAAATGCTTGAAAGTGGTCATCTGTTAGTTTCTACTACGTATTTTGAGAGGAATCTGGCAGCAAACTTTCAGAGAGATAAAGAAACTGAGCTATCTCGTAATAGAGATGTCGGTTTTTGGATCAGGCTTAGCCCGGAAGGTGCATGGGAGAGTGTTCGATCGTTACTTCCACTGTCTGTGGTACCCAAATTACTACATGATGAATTTCTTGCCATGGAGGTTGTCATGAAAAATGGCAAGAAACATGTAATTTTTAGGGGTCTTGCAATTGTAGTAAATGATTCTGATGTTAAATTGGATATTTCTATTTGCCACGTGTCTTTGGTTCATGGCCGTGATCCATCTCTAGGAACAAGTAAATTGAACATTGTGATAGAAGAGATATTCGAGAATCAGAGTTATCACCCAATTTCTGGTTGGGGTAACAAGTTGCCTGGTTTTCGAAGTACTGGCCCAGGGCGATGGAGCACCAGGGACTTCTCATGTTCATCAAAGGTGTGTATGTTTGTTGAGCAACCATTTAATTTTGCCTATACCACTGCATTCTCATCTTTCGTTCTTTATTTTGAAGGATTTTTTTGAACCTCACCTTCCAACTGGATGGCAATGGACATCTGCATGGATTATTGATAAATCTGTACCTGTTGATGATGATGGTTGGACATATGGTCCTGACTTCCATACATTGAAGTGGCCTCCAGCTTCAAAGTCATATAAATCTGCTCATAATGTCGTGCGCCGAAGGCGATGGATTCGCAGGAGGCAACAATTAACTGGGGAAGGATCAAATAGCGTGAACAGTGATTTTATTTCCATAAATCCCGGATCATCATCTGTTTTACCATGGAGGAGCATATCCAAAAATTCTGATCTGTGTTTACTAGTACGTCCTTGTGCTGATCATTCTCAGCCTGAATATGCATGGGGCCAAGCAGTTGCTTTCGTTTCTGACTACATGTTTGAGAAGGATCAACCTTTCAGTGATCAAGGCTTGCTTGCAAGACAAAATACTTTAAAGCAGCAAAGAAAAATGCCAAATGCTTTTATGCTGAATCAGCTGGAGAAGAAGGATGTTCTTTTCCATTGTCGCCCAAGTAGTGGAAGTGCAGAATTTTGGCTCAGTGTGGGTGCTGATGCTTCAATCCTCCACACTGAATTAAATTCTCCTGTTTATGATTGGGGAATATCTATTAACTCCCCATTGAAGCTGGAGAACCAACTTCCTTGTGCAGCAGAATTTACAGTTTGGGAAAAGGGAAGAGAAGGGAGTTGCATTGAGCGGCAACATGGTATAATCTCTTCACGCCAGAGCATACATGTATATTCAGCTGATATCCGTAAATCTGTCTATCTTACATTGCTTCTCCAGGGTGGTTGGGTTCTTGAAAAGGTATGTATCTGTCCACATAAGTGCACTCTTTGCATCTGAAACTCAGTTAAAAAAAATGTTGTTTAACCTTGTATGCTTTAGATTAAAAATTCTGTTATGTGAGATGTTTACAGTTCATGTTCTTATTGGCAGGATCCTTCCCTCGTGCTGGATCTTGGTTCCAGTGCTCAAATCTCATCATTCTGGATGGTCCACCAACAAAGTAAAAGGTTTGTGATGTATTGCATTTGACTTAGTTTTTGTTTATAGTCATGCAGATTGGGTGGATGCAGTGTTGAAATGTTGTGCTGCATTTTATTTATAACCACTTGATCCATACATATTCAAGTTCCTATCATGTAATCCATATATTGTCAAGTTCCTATCATATAACAATTTTTTCTTTCACCTTTGGAAAAAGAATGCATGATTGAAAGTGGTGATATGTTGTGCTAGATTTTATTTATAACCACTTGATTCATCAATTGTCGAGTTCCTATCATGTAACAAATTTTGCTTTCACTGTGGGAAAAAGAATGCATGATTGAAATTAGTCTACTCTGATTAGTTTGAGTCAATGGTTCTACCTTTTGTTCTTTATTTGTTCTCTTCCAATCATTTCTAATTTTTAGACTGATATATTACTATATGCTGGACTGTAATTTTGTAAAGTTGTTTTGTTACCTTTTTTTTCAATCAATGTTCCATCCAAAAAAGGGGAACAGAAGAAAAAGATTCCATGCACGTTTCTTTAGATTAAGTGACTATTTAAGGTCAACATGCGTTTCATTTCTTAAAATATAGGATTCTATTAGAACAGTGTGTTAGATATGAAGCCTACATAACCAATTATTTCAAAGCTGCAATTGAACAAGTGGTCATGAATCTGGCCTTATTTATGTAACCACTTGACATGTTGTTTGGAAACAAGGCAGGGTTGAACTGATCAATTTGTTGATGGGTTTGGGAATATCTTACATTCTGATGCTTTAACATTACTTTTAACACTTGTTATTGGTACATCCTTCTGATGCAATCAGAACCTGTTATCCTGCCTTCCTCTCTTTATTTTGAAGAGCACATAAAATAATACTCCTATGAATTAGTAGAGAAACAAAAACTACCTTTCAATGTTGTCAGTTTTTTTTTTTTGATGAATTGATGATATTTCCATGCTGTGCTTTGGCATGTTGTACTATAGCTTACAGAATGTGGCTCTTCAATTATCATGATATTTTTGGCTTTTTCGATATTTCACATTTTCTATAATTGTTGTCGGTTCAGGAGACTGCGTGTGAGCATTGAACGAGACATGGGAGGAACCTCTTCAGCTCCTAAAACAATAAGGTTATTTGTACCATATTGGATCGTAAATGATTCATCTCTACCATTATCATATCGAGTGGTAGAGATTGAGCCAGTAGAGACAGTTAAGTCTGTGAAAGCTTCCTTTAAAAATCCCACAAACACCATGGAAAGGAGATTTGGCACAAAGAGAAATGTTCAAGTACTTGAAGTGATTGAGGATACCAGCCCGATACCGAGCATGCTTTCTCCACAGGACACTGCTGGTCGGAGTGGGATTATGTTGTTTCCTTCTCAAAAAGATGCATACCTGTCTCCACGTGTGGGCCTTGCAGTAGCTATTCAACATTCTGAGATCTATAGTCCTGGGATTTCTTTTCTCGAGCTGGAAAAGAAGGTGATTTAGGCGGACAGTTAAATTAACTTTATGATCAAGGATTCCTATTCATTTTCTGCTGCTTCAAATTTTTCTTAGTTTGTGATGCTATGTAGTCTCTTTCAGGAAAGGGTTGGCATAAGGGCATTTGGTTCTGATGGATCTTACTACAAGCTTTCAGCATTGCTGAAGACCTCAGACAGAACAAAGGTTGTCCTAGATTATGGCATTTGCTTTTTTAGCACTCAAAGATACATGTCATGCTTTTCGGTGTCAGTTGACTTCTTTGAAAACAAGTCCATAAATTGGGAAAGTATTTTTCTTAATAGTTTAGTATTAAGTAAAACCATGCCATCATTTATTTCTATTAAGATAGCCATGTTACAGTACATCCAGATTGCATTTCAGATTTAGATCATGAAATCTTTTGATAAGTTGATTGGTAACGTAATCTTTTGATGAGTTGAATAATGGATTTTGATGCTACCCTCATCGAGGCAATCAATAATAGAAACTGACTAAAATTTACTTTCACAACATTATTGAGGGAACCTAGGTTCTACCTGTTGTTGTTCCCCAACATGCTAGGCCCCTTCATTTTTTTTGTTGTTTCCACATTGGATTGTTCGTATACCCAGCACAGTTGCCAATGACATCTGGTGTTGGATTTGGATGTGTATTGGTATTGCCCGGGGGAGGATGCGTGACAACAACTTTCCATCCATCTCTTAGAAGCAATCTTTTCCTGTCCTCGAATTAGCAAATTTTTACTCGCAATCTGGGACCAAATATGAGCACCTGCTTGGTTTGATAAATTACCTTCCAACATGGTCTGTAGCCTCCAGCTTTAGATGATCTGATAATCCTTAGAGGTAAATAAATAACTCACATAAGAAAGTTCTGATTGCATCTTCAAGGTTAAAAACCTGAGAACCATATAATGACAGCAAAAAATGTGAAAATTTGCATTTTCTTCAGGAACAAGAAGTTATGATAAACTGTTAATGTTTTCAGAAACGACGATTCAATTTTTAGTTAACAGCTCTTAATTGGGATGATACTCAGGTTCTTCATATTCAGCCACACACCTTGTTCATCAATAGGTTGGGTTTCAGTCTCTGCCTGCAGCAATGCGGTTCCCAGCTGGTGGAATGGATTCACCCCGCTGATGCTCCAAAACCCTTTGGATGGCACTCTTCTGCCAATGTCGAGCTGTTGAAGGTTTGTACAAAATAAAATATTTCTCTTCACTGGTAATGCAGATGTATAAAGTAATAATTCCTTGGATTTTTGTATTTCAGTTGCGAGTGGATGGATACAAATGGAGCACTCCATTTAGTATTTGTAATGAAGGAATGATGCGAATATTCTTGGAGAAAGATTCGGGAGATGATCAAATGCAGCTGAGGGTACAAGTAAGAAGTGGCACAAAGAGATCACAATATGAAGTTATTTTCCGCCCAAATTCTTTGTCCAGTCCTTACAGGTTATTATATATACTCACATATTTCTCTTATCCAGCTTTTCCTGTCTGTTCTTGTTATTTTGAGGTTCTATAGCCTTGTAGAGTCCATGCAGTTACTTGCATAATATAATTATTTGGAATGCCTTGGATTAGTTTGTTCCGGCAGAACTTTCCGAACAGCTTCTTTTCCTACTGATATGAAAATATGGAAAAGTAGTGTTTTTGGTTAGATTAAAAGTGGTTTTTCTTTTAATATGGTTTGCCAAGAGTTATATATTTCGTCAAGTTATAAAGATTTTTAATCATGTTAACAATCAAGTTCTTGTAACAGGATTGAAAATCATTCGTTTTTTTTACCCATTCGATTTCGGCAAGTGGATGGTCCCAGTGAATCATGGAAGCTTCTTCTTCCAAATGCAGCTGCTTCTTTCTTATGGGAAGACTTTGGTAGACCAAGATTATTGGAACTTTTAGTTGATGGAACAGATTCATCAAGATCATTGAAATACAATATCGATGAGATTCTTGATCACCAGCCCAATCATGCGGAGGGTCAGCCTGTTAGACCATTACGGGTTACTGTTCTAAAAGAAGACAAAATGAATATTGTTAGGATCAGTGACTGGATGCCAGAAAATGAACTTCCAATTACTGGTAGAAGAGTCCAGCCGCCATTAACACAACTTTGTGGAAATGACTCTCTACAACAGCAGTTGCCGTTGTCCACAGGTTGTGAATTTCATGTTGTTCTTGAGCTTGCTGAGCTTGGAATATCTGTTATTGACCACACACCTGAGGAGATTTTATATCTTTCTGTCCAGAATCTTCTTTTATCATATTCTACTGGTTTGGGGTCTGGGTTTAGTAGGTAAGACAGTCTTTGAATTGATTTTTTATTCTGTAGTCAGGTTGCCATTTTCAATGTAGTCTTACAAATAAAGCATCAGGGGTTAACAAGAGCTTATATTCTTGTTTTCAAGAAATTCTTAATGCATGCTTGGTTGTTTAGTTTTCAAGAAATTCTGAATGCATGCTTGGTTGTTTAGTTAACACTTCTCTCCCAAAGAATTTTCGTTAGCATACATACCTAGTAGCAAAGTTATGAAATAGTGGCTGAGACATCAAAATGACCAAACTGTTAGTCTGATTGTTATCGGTAACTCTTAGTTGTGCTTCCCTAAAGTACTGGTGGCATTTAATTGTTGATTCTTATTGTTGAATGCACAATGGCTTTAGAGGTTCCTTTGTGATGTTCATGGACGTCCAAATGACTCCTGGTTTAGAGTGCCCTGAAGTGCATCTGTACTTGTTATGCAATTTTGTAGCATAATCTTTGACTAAAGGTTTTATTGCTTCTAGGATTGTGTAGATTATAAAGCTTGAACAGGGTACAGCTATTTATATCCAAAAGCTTCAAGTGGATGCCTAGCTTAGTGATTTTTTGATGACATCATTGAAGTTTCTGAGAAATCTTTCCCTGTATACTTTCTTTATCATTAGTATTAGGAGCGTGTAGATTATGTACTTATTTTTCAACAATTGGAATTGAAAAGTTGTGCTTTGGCATTATTAACATTTCTGAGAAATTTTTCCTGTGTATAGTTTCTGGTCACTAGCATTAGGAGTTTGTAGATTGTGTACTTATTTGTCAACAATTGGAATTGGAAAGTTGAAAGCGTAGTTTATTCTTCTGGTGGTTTTAACATTTGTAAATATTTCTTGGCCAAACTAATTTCCTAGATTCCTGTGGCTTCAAGTTTGTTTCTAGAGTTTACATCTGATGAAGGGTAATGATTAAAATACCAACTGCTGTATTGTTTCCTCTTATAGGTTGAATCTAAGAGTGCATGGAATACAAGTGGATAACCAGTTACCATTAACTCCGATGCCAGTTCTCTTCAGACCGCAGAAAGTTGGGGAGGATAGAGACCATGTATTGAAGTTTTCCATGACAATGCAATCAAATGGATCTTTAGATTTATGTCTCTATCCCTATATTGGTTTCACTGTGAGTCTGCTTGACCTTAATTATGTTAACTGTCACATTATTCTTTGTACATATAAATATTCACTCACTGCTTTTAACAGGGACCTGAAAGTTCTGCTTTCATAATAAACATCCATGAACCTATCATTTGGCGCCTTCATGAGATGATCCAGCAGGTCAACCTCAGTAGGTTATATGATACAAAAACAACTGCTGTGTCGGTTGATCCAATTATTCATATTGGGTATGCGAAAACCTGTCTTGAAACTTAGCTTCTGCACAGACCAAACTTAATTTATCTAATAATCTTGCAATTACAGTGTTCTCAACATCTCAGAAGTTCGATTCAAAGTTTCAATGGCCATGTCACCTAGTCAAAGGCCAAGAGGAGTACTCGGGTTCTGGTCATCCTTGATGACTGCTTTGGGCAACACTGAAAATATGCCTGTAAGTGATTCAATTGTTCTTCTATTTCTAAGTTCTGAGATCTTCTTTTAATGTTGACTGTTGATGTCCCTGAATTTTGAATGCTGAATTAGTTTCAATAATCCAAATCTTGTTTCAAAATTCATAGCACAATTATTGATGGTTCAATCCATTTGTACTTTACTGCTCTTGCTAAAATGGGCTCAGTTTTTTTGTGGTGGATTATTGTTGTGCCACTGCCTCAAATAGATGGCACTGTGCCTGTCCATTAAGCTTAGCACTTGTGTTTGGAATATCCATCAAGGTGCTACTTTGTTCTGCTATCCATTCATGTTAATTTTTTGTTCTCAACATGAAAAATTAATTCTGTTTTGCATGCCTTTTTGCAGATTATTATGACTGACAATTTCCAACAACTTTCATGAAGATAATCAGCTCAAATTCGGATGGTACAAATGATATTTCATCCACATAAGGGCATGAGTGCTATCCACCACGTCCACCAGCAGCACTACTCAGTATTTTAGACATATCTCGAGCTGCCTTTTTGCAGATTATTATGACTGAAATGCTGAATATGACTTGCTTTTTTTTTGTTGATCAGGTGAGATTGAATCAAAGATTTAATGAGAATATGTGCATGAGACAGAGTACTATGATAGGTATTGCTGTCTCAAACATAAAAAAGGATCTACTTCGCCAACCTCTTCAACTGCTCTCTGGTGTTGATATATTGGGCAATGCAAGCAGTGCACTTGGACATATGAGTAAAGGTGTAGCTGCCTTATCAATGGATAAAAAATTCATCCAAAGTCGACAGAGACAGGTCTGCTATAAAATTTTGATTTCTCTTCTCTTGATTGTTCCATATCAGTGAATAGGCATTTCCCTAGATTAAGAACATAATAAGGTTAGTTATTAACACCATATTCTGAATGATTGGCACCATCTATGTTGTTTTTTTCATGGATGAAGTGTCCATTTACTGGCCCATCTGATATGAATTTGAGTAGGAATCCCAAGCAATGTACACTATACATGGAAGAAACGGGCTATGTGAATCATGGTGTATATGGAGTTATTCTTCTTATTCCTTCATATTGCTTTTAGCATAACATAAAGTAATCAGGCTGCTCCAGCAAGTTTGCCATGGCACCTGCAAAGGAAGCTTCTGGGGTTTTTTTTATATCACTGATCTTCATTTATTTATTTTCTCATTAGATGGAGTGTGGTTAACGCATAGGGGTGAATTTTAAGAAAAAAATTTATGCCCCCTTATCCTTGAGGCAGGGTGGGTGCCAGTGTATCAAAATTTGGCCGACATTGAAGGCTTTCTCATACCCACCCTGATACTGCTCCTGTCTGCATGTTTTTGCTTTGTCCCAACTGATATATCCTTGTACTATCTTTTAATTAAATTCTGGAATTTTGAAATTGACATTTGTCTTCCAGGAGAACAAAGGTGTAGAGGCTCTTGGTGATGTCATTAGGGAGGGAGGCGGAGCACTAGCAAAAGGCCTCTTTAGAGGAGTTACCGGTATTCTAACAAAGCCTCTTGAAGGTGCAAAAAATTCAGGTGTTGAGGGTTTTGTTCAGGGAGTTGGAAAAGGAATAATAGGTGCAGCTGCTCAGCCAGTCAGTGGGGTTTTGGATCTTTTGTCCAAAACTACGGAAGGGGCCAATGCTATGAGAATGAAGATAACATCAGCTATAACCTCAGAGGAACAACTGCTCCGCCGGAGGTTGCCTCGTGTTATTAGTGCTGATAATTTGCTTCGACCTTATAATGAGTACAAATCCCAAGGGCAGGTAGCCTTGCTTGTGTAATTTACAGATCATAGTTTGTCTTCTCTGGTCTTTTAATGGGTTGTCGTGATTCTGGTGGCCTAGGAATTTTGACAAATTCTTTCATGGAGAGTTGTAATTATTTCCTTCATGTGCCCCTCTCTGCCCACAAATGCTACTCCTATCTTAAAGAGATTCTCATCAGCTAGATATACAAACACTGGCCAGACATCATATTGAGATCATATTTTGACTCTTATCCTGATATCTTATTAAAACGCTGTACTTTTTTCTTAAAAAAGAAAACACTGGGTGCTTTTTTAACTGTTATTGTTCAGAGATTTCTTTATAACGTTCATTTCTTTTATTACATGTCATGTAAATATTACCACCACTCTGAATCCTTTCGCACATTTTTTCTTCCTGAAGGTCATATTGCAGCTGGCAGAGTCAGGTTCATTTTTTGGCCAGGTTGATCTATTTAAAGTGCGTGGGAAGTTTGCCTTATCAGATGCTTATGAAGATCACTTTATGCTCCCTAAAGGAAAGATCATTGTGGTAACACATCGAAGAGTCATGTTGCTGCAAGTAAGTTTCCTTGACAAGGAACATAAGTGTTGTATTTACTTTCTTGTCCATTAATCATCATGGGCTTGCCTTGAGTGTGAAGCTTTATATTGTTATTTTCAGCAACCATCCAACATTTTAGCTCAGAGGAAGTTCAGCCCGGCAAGGGATCCATGTTCAGTATCGTGGGATGTTTTATGGGTTGACTTGGTGACCATGGAATTGACTCATGGGAAGAAGGACCAACCAAAAGCTCCACCTTCACGCCTCACTCTTTATTTACGGAGTAGATCAACAGAGTCAAAAGAACAATTTCGTGTGATAAAATGCAGCCGTGAGACAGATCAGGCCCTGAAGGTCTACTCTTCAATAGAGAGAGCAGTTAACACTTATGGACGCAACCTATCAAATGTTAGTTTCCAGTCCTACATCTTATTCCATTCTTGTGTGCTCAAGCTAGCCAAACTATGAGTCTGATTTACAAGTAGAGATGCAACATCTGACTAGTGCTTACAAGTTATAGTGAACTAGTAGCCCAGCATAACGCACCTCTAAGCATGAGATATCAGCATTCTGGCTCCACTGTTGCAGGATTTTCTCTATTTTTAATGACTTCCTTTGTTGTTCAGGAAATGCTCAAAAATCAAGTGACAAAACCATATGCACCGAGTGCAGATGACTCCAGACTTGAAGGAATTTCAAAGGAAGGGGATTGTATCTGGTCTCCCCAACAGATGCCTGAGTCAGTTACTCAGAGTTCAACGTTTGGCAGCAGCTCCAATTGATTTTGGGAAAACTGCTCAATGGAGAATGTGGTTAATATTTTGCTGAAGTCGGGTCATACAAATTTTATGCTTTTGAATGTTAAAGATTTAGGTCGCATGCCTGTGCTGTTCATAAGGTATAACGTTGGAATTGCATTATCTTTTTTAAGCTTCCAAGCATTTTATGAATCAAGTGAAAAAACTACCTGACTAATTGCGTATGCATATTATTGGGAGGCTAAACCTGAATTTCTGCAATTGTGAATGCTGCTCATGTGATTACATGCACATGCAGGTATGGACTTGGGAAGATGTTCTTAATGGAGATTTTAGCATCCGCTGTTTAAAGAAGCACCTGCAGAGACTATTGGAACAGGGTTGCTTGTCAGAAGTGCAATTTTACTGGGATACAGGGGAATCACTATGGAGAGCACATCTTCATGTTTGGTGATTGAAGCTGTACAGAATACCTTCCACAACTTGATGTGGTTGCTCCTAGAATATACTTGTTTTTTTTTTTCCCCTCATACATATTTCTTCTGTGTTGTTTGTACATAGAATTTTTGCAGAAAGTCATCTGGGCTGGCCACTGGAAAATTGGTCTCACTTGGAGACCCAAAGCTTCTATGTAAATAGAAAGCGATACACATCCTGTCATCTCCGGTGCTTTCTTCTTTTCTTGTTTTTTTTTTTTTTTTTTTTTTTTTTTTTTTGGGGGGGACTGGGGAAGTTGCATTCGTGTTTAATCGAACACCTCTGATGAATGTTCGAGTGCAAAATAAGAATATAAAGGTCATTCACCAAACCACACCATGCTCTCCGTATAAGGAACCAGGCAATGCAATTTGCTCTTCGATCTGCCTGTCCCGAATTTCCTGGAAACAAATTTGTAACTGTCAGACACGGGCGAAAAGAAAAGGAGTAGACTTTCAAATAGCGAACAATTTTCTTTAGTTTGGTATTGTATGATAATTTATCAAAAGAAATTCAGTTTATGGTTTGCAAACAAAATGCGAGAACACGAATATTTATTAAACTAATGGGTTAAATCTGATTCCCATGAAGAAAACATACGCTTATTTATCAAAAGAAACAATCTTCTATTTGGACTCCAGATGATATTTATTAGATTTAACTCATTAGTTAACCTGATTAAGTGATCAAGGAGTTGAGTTTTAATATTTTATATAAAAAAATTAACAAATAAGTTATTTAAAGATAGACTATACATGGTATAAATAATAAAATTTAAAATATTATTTTAAAGGATTTTTTATTTTACACTGAAAAAACAATCTTTTTATCATAAATATTTAATATATTTACTAAAATATTTTAAATCTTACATTAAAAAAATAAAATATTCTTCTAATAAACTTTTAAAAAAATTAATAATCAACTAAAATATATATAAATAAAATTATCTGACTAACAAAAATGTATTTTCAAAAAAAAGCTACAAGTTCTAACCTCAGAGTACTATCTACTCATTATAATTTGCTCCAACACACCAACTACTAAGATCTAAAATCTCATAACTTTAATTAAACAAAAATGTAGTTTAATTAGTTAAATTTTAGATTTATTTTTTAGAAATTACTAGTTCAAGTTTTACAAATTTTAAAATAAATATAAGCTGTTCAAATATATACATTAATAATAATAAAAAAATTCTACAATTGTGTTGTTTACAATAATAGAAGAGATAATTGCTAATATTTGTAAGGAATAATTTACTAGTTTGATTCATGGAAGTATCGGAGGAAGCAATTTCAATGCTACTTAATTATCGTGATGACAATGATTCGAGTTCATTTGTTTTTTATTTTAAAAATATTTTTTAAAAAATTTGAAAATTTTTTATTTTTAGATCATTTTGATATATATACTAATATTAAAAATATTTTTTTTAAATAAAAAATTATAATTTTAATATATTTTAAAAAATACATTTAAAAAACAACCACTGGAGCATTCCTTAAAACCTCCTATCATTTAGCCTGCGTTTAGATTGAAATCAGGATAACTTATGAGATAATAACCTCAAAAAATATAACATTGCGGCCCCACAAGAATAAATGCAAGAACAGCAATACCTTTTCTTGAGAGGGTTTAAGAAAAAGCACGTGTTTACACACACACACACGCTCACTTGGTCAAGGTCTGTTTGTCTATAATAATAATAATTATACATAGAGAGCCTTATTAATGCTTGAGGATTAGGATAAGATCAATTGAACTATACAAAAAGCATTACGGAGTAGACTTTTAAGCAGCAGGTTCATTATTAATGCCAGAATTACATGTATATGCTCTCATGGCAAAACCATATTTCAAGGAAAATAATATGGCTCATATATTATATTTTTATTTAGAGATCCTATGTTCAAACCTTGTAATTGCAAGAAATACGATAAGGGTTTTTCACACGTAAGAAACTAATTAATTTATTAAAAAAGTTAGTTAATTGTACTGCATTAATTGCGTATTTCAATAAATTCGAAGCCAAGTTATAATATAGGTTTCTGGCACGTTATTGATGCACTTTGTAATTTAGTAGCAGTAGGATTAAAGCACTCTCTCTTTTTTTTTCTCTATATTCGAAACCGAAGCTGAGGTGTAAAACAAGATTTTTTAATGAGCATTACGAACAGAAATAAAAGTAAAAATAAAATATACACGTGGGTAATCACATGCTTGAGGAGGAAGAAACAATTTGCATCTCGGCAAAACCCTTTACTTTAAAAAGCGGGAAATGAAATTTCACCGTAAAAGCGAAGGAATCCATCCAATTTTAAGCCACCGCGTACACAAACGAAACAAAAAATTAAAAATTAAAAAAAAAAAAAGAGGAAGAGAAAGCCGGAAGTGAAAGCCGCAAAGTCAAAAAAAAAAAAAAAACTTCATAAAAGGACAGGGGAATCGCCCGTCGAGTTCTCACATTTCGCACTCAACTCAAACAATTTCGCGTGTCTATCTCGAGTTTCGTGTCCGTCTCAGTCTCTTCAAAGTCATGACCTCCACGTGTCGGTTACCCAACCTCCGAGCCCCAGATAAATTCAACAAAACCCATTTCCGAATCCACTCCGATTTCACCCCGAAAGCAAACAAGCAAGACAGACTCTTTGATCCTGAAATTCAATTCAATTCAATTCAATTACATTAAAAATCAAAACCCTATATCTCGTACCTTTTGAAAGGCTGAGAAAAGCGACTGAGAAAATCTTTGTGAGTAGTAAAAAAAATGAAGGAAACAACCGAGATAAAGTGCAATGTTATTGATGTGCAGTATCAACTTTGCCTGGCTAAAGATCAGCAGAACATGGCTCCTTCAACTCCGGTTTTTGATTCGATTTCCACAGAAGTCTCGCGTTTTGAGACGGTACGTTCTTTAATTCTCAAGATTTATTATCGGTTTCTTTATTTTTTGCCTGAAGTTACTTTCTTTTTGTGGTTTCAAGATTTTTCTTTTATTAGTTAATAGCAGCTTGTGATTCCCTTTTAAGGAAGAATCTAAATTGGGCGTTTGTTTTTAAACTTCTTTTTTTTTTTGGGGGGGTTTCTCTAGATAATTGGACTGCCAAGTTTTATTGATTCCGCGTATGTTCTGGTGGAATTTCGGTCCCCAACTGAAAATTTATTGTTGTTTGTGTTTAGGGGGCAATTTGATCGGTCCTGAATGGTGTCATAAGGCGATTGATTAGTCAAGGATTACAAGTTAGATACTTGCCTTTTTCTTTATGGTTAGCGATAATAGGATTAGCTGTATTTCTTTTTGGTATAATTTGTGGGTTTCAGCTATAAATTATGGGTTTTCCCTTGATTTATCAGATGTTGAATCCTAGCTCTTGAAGTCAAAAGGGTTGTGCAATTTAATATGCGGGGCTTAATGAAAACAGTGTTAGGGAGTTGGAATTTGCCTTGAAATCTCTACGACCTATTGTGCTTTATGTGTTAGTGAGTCATTTTGGGTTTGTTATCATCTTTTTTTCACATGCTTTCTTGTCTATAGCGCAGTTTATTTATTTTAAACGCTGTATCATTGTATTTTCTGCTTTACAATTGATTTCTGCGAACATGTACTTACCTCTTTATCTCTTGCATTGTAGGTCGTGAAGTCTTCTGCTGCCAAGCTTTTTCCTCGCATCCGTTCTGGTAGCTATGCAGATATTGGATCAAGGCCATCTATGGATGATGAACACGTTAGGATTGATGATCTATCTGCCCATCTGGGTTCTTATTTCAAGTGTCCGAGCTCTTTTTATGCAGTTTTTGATGGTCATGGAGGGCCTGATGCAGCTGCTTATGTCAAGAGGAATGCTGTGAGGTTGTTTTTTGAAGATGTTCACTTACCACAAACATCTGATGTTGATGATGCCTTCCTAAGAGCACTGTTAAATTCCCATAGGGAAGCGTTTTTAAAGGCTGACTCTGCATTGGCTGATAAAAGCATTGTTAGCAGTTCATGTGGAACAACAGCATTGACTGCCCTAGTTCTTGGGAGGCATTTAGTGGTTGCAAATGCTGGTGACTGTCGTGCTGTTCTCTGTAGGGAAGGGGTAGCTGTTGATGTGTCTCAAGATCACAAGCTTTCTTATTTGCCAGAACGCAGACGGGTTGAGGAGTTGGGTGGTCGTGTTGAAGGTGAATATCTTAATGATCATCTTTCTGTTACTCGAGCCCTTGGAGATTGGGATTTAAAGCTTCCTGTTGGCTCCACATCACCTCTAACTGCTGAGCCAGAGGTTCAACAGTTTATGTTAACGGAGGCTGATGAATTCTTGATTATTGGTTGTGATGGTATCTGGGATGTTATGTCAAGCCAGCATGCTGTCAGCCTTGTCCGTCGTGGGCTTAGGCGGCATAATGACCCAGAACTTGGTGCCAGAGAACTAGTCATGGAAGCATCACGCCTCCATTCAGCTGATAATCTCACTGCTGTTGTTGTCTGCTTCACTTCACCTAATCCTGTTGAGTCATGCGAACCTCAGAGCCGAAGGTTGAGGTTCTTCTGTCTCTCTGAGGAGGCTCGGAGCAAGCTGAAGAGCTTGCTGGGAAGCAATTGAATGTGCATGCAAATTATTTCACGTTATTTACTGATGTTTGGTATGGTAAAGGATTTTGATCTGCTGTGACTGTTTCGATGTTTTAGAAAAACAGCCAGCGGTTTTGTAGGGTAGAGGAGCGTGCGGGGTTAGGGTAATACATCAAGTGAAATGCTAGTCTTTGTTGTTTACTGACACGATGCAATGTTGTTTTGGTTTCATTGGGTTCCGCTCGCTGGGATGGTCTGTTGTCTTTTTTCTTTGTTTTCTCTTGCACACGTCGTCTCTGTTTACGTGACCATGGGGATTATGAAATGAGACTTCAACATATGTGTCATGTGCCTCTTGAATGCAGTCCTAGTTACAAGTCTAATTCTTGAGGATACGAGCGATATTTAATAAAGAAATTGTTTTAGAAGTTAGAACTATAGGAACCTTATTTACATGTGGATATATTTTTTTCACTCGTCAGGAGGGCTTTGATATTCACGTGCAACCCCTTTTGAGAATGTGTCTCTCCTATTTTTTCCCAAAGCCAAAGGATATTTTTCGTTGGCCATCCTTTTTGGTTTCCAGCATCCGAACCTCGTTCACAAAATCGATCAAATGGTTTAACGACAAATCTCGTTCGAGTTGGCTTTAGTAGTGGCACACAAAGGCCTCATCATCTTAGCAGGAATTGTTGTCTATGCTCGCTACCCACCAGGCAAATATAAGAAAAGGGTAATGCTAGGATTTCTAAGGCCACCATTTTCTAAGAATTTCAAAAAACAAAATCTACATCGATATTTTGTACTTGGCATAGACAGGACCGTTTGATTTGCTATCTTCCTAACCCACCTAAGAAAAAGTTCATCTTGATCAATAGATCTCAACCGTTCAAACTGTTGAGTATACATCATCTCTTGGGGCAACACCCCCATCAGAAACTACTGTACATTTGTAAATTTTGGAAGGCATCAAAATCAAACCGGACTTCCCATTCTTTATGCATAGGAAATTAAGTACCTAAACTTTATATATTAGCCGATGACCCACAAATCTGCCTTTCATAAATGGTTCATGTTCAATGTTTAAATCAAGGAGAGGCCTCACTTCAATCAAAGAATACGCCACCGTCTGCCATTACACATCAAAACCATAACAGTAAAGGAAGAAAACCTCAGCAAGTTCTAAAATAAGATACACTTGATTTCTACCCTAAGAAAAGTAAAAAGCAAAAACCTTTCTTATAATATTCTATCCTCATCAGCTGTTAGATTATATATGATTTGTAGTTTTTTCTCCGTAGGGTATTGTTTATTTTAGTTTCAATTATCGTCCCACTTTCAAATTTAGTAGATCATGAAAAACTTGCTAATGTTTTTGAGAAATTTATGAATATATATAAATGGTTTGTGTGAGACTCAACTGGAGACTGGTGATAAATTTAGCATTAGTAATTTAAAATAATAGTTCGAATATGTCTTGATATTTTTTTTTTGTGGTCCTTTAATAAATTTCTTACTCTACAGGATTTCTCAATTGAGTTCTTCAACCACTTCTATTTTTTTTCCTAATATTTTATAAAGTTCCAGATAAATAATGTCATTTTATAGTGTTTTTGTTTTAATTTTATCCCTAAAAACCTTGAAGATTTTAGACAAAAAGCTTAATTGAAAATTTAAATCCTTTGAAACTTTATTGAGACAAAAAAACAATTCTTTGAGGATACCATTGAGATTCTAGTTATGGTCTGGGGACCCATTTGAAATTTGTCGAAATATTCTAGCCTCCTTCGAGTTGTCAAAAGCCGCAGTCCCAAGGAGACCAAAAATAAAAAACTCGAATAACATAGACAAAGAGCGACACCGATTCTACCAGACAAAAAAAAATGGCGATGGCAAGTATTGCAAGGAGAAAGGCATGCTTTTTGACAAGAAACTTATCAAATTCTTCAAGTGCTGATGCTTTCAAGTTTTCTTATTCCCTCACTAAATTCTCTCGTGGGTTTGCTACCTCGGGATCTGAAGAGAACGATGTAATTGTCATCGGTGGTGGACCAGGTGGCTATGTGGCTGCTATTAAAGCTGCCCAGTTGGGTCTCAAAACTACTTGTATTGAAAAACGTGGTACTCTTGGTGGCACTTGTCTTAATGTCGGCTGTATCCCTTCAAAGGTAATTTCCTTTTGTTTGGGTTTCTCTTTTTGATCTGTTTTTGTGTTAAAGTTTTTGGGTTGTGTTTGTTTCTGTGAGATTTTATATTTAGTTTGCTTTCAGATCTGTTGGTATTGTTTGTTACCTGAATTTGATTGATGGGTTTTCCGTCGGAAATGGGAATTTTTCTGATTGCTTTTTTGATAGAGATTTCTTGTTATGTATTTTACTGTTTATCGAATTTTCGGACAAATTATGCTTTGGCTATTGGAGAGGTTTTTGACTGTTTAATGGAAGGAATAAAAAGAGTAGAAGATTTTGTTTGTTATTGGATTCAACATTTTGATCTCCATCTGTGAAAGTTCATTTTGCAGTGTATAGAAGGCCCAAAGTATCCTGCAATTAATCCCTGTTAGGCAGTGGATTTAGTTTGGGAACGTGGTTGAAACCGTGTTTCCCAAAAATTTGGAAATTTTTCTTTTGTTCTTTTTTGTTTAAAATTATTATTTTTTATATTTTCAAATAATTTTGATGTACTGATATTAAAAATAATTTTTTTAAAAAAATATTTTGATACGTTTTCGGTAAAAAAACATTTTGAACCGTAACCGCTACCATATTTTCAAACACCTCTTTAGATTAACCAAATAGAACTTTCAAGTTGTCTGATAAGTTCCACTGATTATATGTTTTACATCTGAGGTTGACATGGTGATTTGTTTTGTAACGAGCTTGTTTATATTAGTTCTTCTAAAATGTTCTGGAATTCTACATATTATGAATTGTGTATTTGTGCCCGTGAAGTTAACAACCAGAAGTGTTACTCCTGGATTGTCAACTCATTTATGTATTCATTATATTTAGTTATTTAACCTATCTTTTGTAGCTTTATTATTCTTTCTTATAGCCAAACTCTTTGACAAGCATTGGGAAAAAATGTTTTCACGTTTAACATATTTCACATTTGGAATTTATCCAACCCTTCTTATTTTCAGGCACTTCTTCACTCATCACACATGTTCCATGAAGCCCAACATTCATTTGCTAGCCATGGAGTGAAGTTTTCTTCTGTTGAGGTTGATTTACCTGCCATGATGGCCCAAAAAGACAAAGCCGTATCTACCCTTACTCGAGGTATTGAAGGTTTATTCAAGAAGAACAAAGTCAACTATGTCAAAGGATATGGCAAGTTCATCTCCCCATCTGAGGTGTCAGTGGACACTATTGATGGTGCGAACACTGTTGTGAAAGGCAAGAATATCATAATTGCCACAGGTTCTGATGTAAAGTCTCTGCCTGGGATTACCATCGACGAAGAGAAAATCGTATCTTCTACTGGTGCTTTGGCTTTGAAAAAGATTCCAAAGAAACTTGTGGTCATTGGGGCAGGCTATATTGGACTTGAGATGGGCTCAGTGTGGCGCCGACTTGGTTCAGAAGTCACCGTTGTTGAGTTTGCTCCGGATATTGTCCCAAGCATGGATGGGGAAGTTCGCAAGCAATTTCAAAGTACACTTGAGAAGCAGAAGATGAAATTCATGCTCAAAACTAAGGTTGTAGGAGTTGATACTTCTGGAAATGGTGTGAAGTTGACAGTTGAACCGGCATCTGGAGGTGACCAGACAACTCTTGAAGCTGATGTGGTCTTGTCTCTGCTGGTAGGACTCCATTCACTGCTGGGCTTGGACTGGACAAGATTGGTGTGGAAACTGACAAGGTTGGACGAATTTCTGTCAATGAAAGGTTTGCAACAAATGTTTCTGGTGTCTATGCTATTGGTGATGTGATTCCGGGCCCCATGTTAGCCCACAAGGCAGAAGAGGATGGAGTTGCTTGTGTGGAATTCATAGCAGGCAAGCATGGCCACGTTGACTATGATAAGGTCCCTGGAGTTGTATATACACATCCTGAGGTTGCATCTGTTGGTAAGACTGAAGAGCAGGTCAAGGCACTTGGCGTTGAGTACCGTGTTGGGAAGTTCCCTCTCTTGGCGAACAGTCGTGCCAAGGCAATTGATGATGCTGAAGGGCTAGTCAAGATAATTGCTGAGAAAGAGACAGACAAAATATTGGGAGTCCATATCATGGCACCTAATGCTGGAGAGCTCATTCACGAGGCCGCACTGGCTCTTACTTATGATGCTTCTAGTGAGGACATAGCTCGTGTATGCCATGCTCATCCAACAATGAGTGAGGCATTGAAGGAAGCTGCCATGGCCACTCATGACAAGCCCATTCACATCTAAAAGGATTGATTATTACCTTTCTTTTTCATTTTTGCTGAAAGACCTTGCAAATGGCTTAGTAAAACTGCCCTCTGCTTTGCTCATCCTTTATTTGATCAGGTTTGAATAGAAATTTACTGTTCATTTCCTTGCATCTACATGAGAATAACTAAACACGGTCAACATTCGTGATGAGATGAGTGCTTGCATTTTGAGTCAATGGCCATTACTAATGAGACCTTGTGTTCTCATGAATTGTCATTGCAGTTGTTTTTTTTTTTGGTTCAAAAAATTGGCATTGCAGCTGTTGTTATATTGGGATCCTACCCAAATGATAGAATATGTAATTCAATTTCCAGCGTATCTGAGGCATGGATACATTATAGTCGTGGAGCCGTTGGTTTCTTTGTTGTTGGTTTGTGTCACAAGTGAGCTGTGAAATGCTGCATGCTTATCTTCCGCCTAGTCACAAATGCGGGTCATCAATCACCTTTGGAAAAGTTAAGAATTAGCCATTTGATTTGTGTGTTCCATGGTATCTAAATCGTCTTACCTAATGCTCAGAAGTCGGAGTGTTCTCTGATCCCTTCCTTCCTCTAGAGATGTATAGAAGAAATCTAAGAGGGCATATCGCGCCGTGCAAGGACTAAGGTCACAAGTTCATCACTTGAGCCTTCTCATGAATCTTGCATGCCTCCATTACCGGCAATTTAAAACATCCAATTTTCAAACGGGAATGAGTTCCTATGCTGGTGTGATTATCTCTAGGTGGAGTTGAGAGTTGATTTAATTTCACGGGCATGGGTAAGAGAACCAGTGAGCGGACGCTGCAACAAAGATCCCCTAGGAGCTCTGAGCAATACTATTGCCAAGACGAAAAGTATATTGAACTGAAAAGATTATTTATTAGCCGTGCGCGGGAAATGGAGGTGCTGTATTGGATTTACTACAAGCCCTCTAATCCTCGTGCCTCCGCAAAGGAAATGTAATGGGAGGTGAAACATGTATTGCATGATGAAAAGAGATAAAAAAATGGAAGGGCATGGAAAGATTCCATCCATCATGTTTACATCGGTAGCTGGTCTAAGCTCCCGACGGCCACAGACCAGAAAAACCATTTGCTAAAACTTGTAAAGAGGACAAAAAATTTGCTGCAGATAAGACAGTTCTCACCACATCTCCTCTTTTCGAAGAAACCAAAGATTTCACAGGAAGCTCCTTGACCACTTAAAATACACCAATCAATCACTCTGCTCATCGAACAGATATCCTTGACCGCACAACAAAAACAAACCATCCCGAACTGCAGGCAAAATCATGGGGCCTTCCCCATGTTCACTGCAAATTCACGATAGTGGAGTTGCTAGGAAGTGTGATTACATCACAAATCCTCTCGCATATCTGTCAAATTTGAAAGAAAAAAAGAAAGAAAAAAGGAGTCAAATTATACAAAAGGAAAAACATGTCAATTAAAATCATATACGTAAAGAAAAATAAAAATAAAAGCATAAAAACAATGAAAATAAGTACAGTAATTATTTTCATAATTCTCGTAAAACAAAGAATTAATAATCGATGTCAATTAACCAACTAAAACACTAACCAAACTACATTAAATCGTGTTAATAAAATTGTATTAGATATTTAACTTAAAATTCTTGAGAATTAAGGATAAAAGTTCGAGGAAAATGATAAAATAATAATAAGATGGATATCTTATGCATTACTTTAGGGGATTTCATTAGTAAATCTCATAAATATAATTGTTGATATTTTTCGATAAATAAATTATATAATATTAGAATTACTTGTTTTGTTATTCTTTGTGGCAGCTTGCTTTTTGTACTTTTTGGGTTTCTTCATCAATTTGACGCCTTTTATATATATATATATATATATATATATATATATATATATATATATATATATATATATATATATATATATATATATATATATATATATATATATATATATATATATATATATATATATATATATATATGGTTTATTAAAAAAGAAGAAGAAGAGCTAACAACATGGGTGCCCATCAAAGAACTTCAGAAGTATTTGCGACCACCAAAGCGCTGATTCAACAACGCCGAAAAATATTGATCAGGCAAGAAAAACAAATGGCATATATGAACAAGCTCATCACAAACACTCTATATTTTATTTAATTTACCTGTATATAGTTGAGGAAATACCAAGATGGATTCAGGTTTCTACTGGGCTCTAGCTCGTACTCCTTGGTGCAAGGATACATGAACTCGTCCCAAATAGCTCAACGCATATAGACAGGCAGTATAAATAAATACTTGGGAGGCTCAACTCCAGAGATTATTGCATATCACATAATCTATCCACCTTTTCATTGCACGCATGGCTACAGCACGATAGTAGAAGTCTAGCCCGTAACAATTTTGACAGTTTAGCAAGCGCTGGGGCGTAGTCGATCACAATGGCTTTCTCCGAGGTATATTTATGTTTTAAAAATATTTTTAAAAATATTTTTTATTTTTTTATTTTTTTTATCTGAATTATTTTTTTGTATTTTCAAATTATTTTTATATGGTGATATAAAAATAATTTTTTTAAAAAATATATATATTATTTTAATATATTTTTCAAATAAAATATTAAAATCAATTTTAATTTTCATAAAATTAAATTACTACGTGATATAGAAATGATTTTAAGCTAAACTTTTAAGTCTCTGATATTTCAAAGTCTTTCCAAAATTATATTGAAACCAACCCTTCTTATTGTATTGGAACCAATCTTATGTTAAAATTGATTTCAATTTTTTAAATAGACTGCTTATAGAGTTCATTTATTTTGCTTAAAATCCTTCAAACACTATATTAGATAAATGATATTGAAATGATTTCATTTCTACTCCCTTCTTAAATTTCCACACAAGTCGTCGTTCTTTACGTCTCAATAGTTCTTTATTTCTTCCCTCTCGCATGTGATATCGGAAGAGCATAGAGTCAGCCATGGAAGCGCATGAATGGTGAGTGTCACACCAAGACAACGACATAAAATGAAAAACAGAAAATACCAAAACTGAAATTAATTACAGAAGAAAATGGAAAAACAACAGCATTCATATATTAATTTTTCTCAGAATCAATAAAGATAGAAACGAGCTAGGATCGATCTCTGTCGAAACCCCATGATATCTCGCACTGGATAATTTAAGTTAGCCCCCATGGCTTTATTTCTTAGGAATAGCAGCACTCCCTTCGAACTAAGTAACAGAATCACAAGAAAGAACAAGCATTCAGAAGTCCGACGACAACATTTATCGCACATTACATGACTTCTTCCCGTGAAATGGCCCGGCCGGATTTATTACCCCTTGAAAATATAGTAGAGGAAGTAGTTTATCACAAGACGCTGTGAAAATGTAGATAAAGATTTTACGATGTGACTTTTAAAAATTAATAAAAATTAGATTAATTTTTAAAAGGTTTTTTGTATTTTTTTTTAATTTGATATATTTTTTATACTCTATTTTTAACTTTTATTTTATTTGATTTTATTGGATTAGCTCTCACCAACAAAAAAAAATATTTAACTCATTATCATTTTTTAATTTATAAATAATTTATCATATTATAAATAATTTTTAATTTAACCACCTATAATTTTTTAATCTTTCAAGTTCAGTTTTTATTTTTTTTAATTGTAATTTTTTTACCCATAATCAGTTTTTTTTTTTAAATTTCATTATTATTGGGTTTTTCCTGTTAGATTTTAGCTCATTTTTTTTCCTTTTTTGTTGTTTATTCTTTTGTAAGTTTTTTTATTAATATTTTTTCAATGATTTTATTTTTTAAAATTAAATTGAATGACATTTAAGTTTTTTAATTAAATTCAAGTCCATGATTTAATAAGTTACAAGTTTTTTATATTAAACTAAGTTCAAGAAGTTCACCTAAGTTTGATTGGTTTTTTCTCTTTTTTTTAAGCTGATGTTATATGTTTTTTTTTTAGTTTTATTTTTTATTTTTTTTCTTTAATTAGATTAGGATTAAGTTGTTTGATAATCTAAATAAATTTATGTGTGTTTTTTCATTGTTTTTTGTAGTTTATTTGTTGTTGTTGTTTTTTTTTTAATTATCACATGTATCAATGACTTGAAAATTGAATTTTTTTAAACTGTCATTTATATATATATATATATATATATATATATATATATATATATTTGTTCACAAAAAAAATAAAAAAAAATAAAAAACATGAGAAAAAAATGTAGCTCTAAACTAATTTACAAGTAAACCGGTAAATCCATGGGCGTAGCTTTTCTAGAACTAGCCTAATTTTCCCTCTCAGTATTCAGTTCCTTTCCTTTTCTTCTTCTTCCTTTCTTCTTCTTTTTTTTTTTGAGAATAACTTTCAATATACAGTTCTGAATTCATGTTCCTTGAGGATTGGGATAATTCACAATCGCAAGCGTAAATGATTGTTGTATTTTTCTTTGGAAAAACACAACAACATTAAATTAGTATAAAAGAATTGCAAAAATCGTTTTGAGATTCAGGAGTTGAATTCTAATTGCTCGTTTATGTGGTTATAATGTGAGTTACGTTCACGTTAGAATTGATGTATTAAAAAGAGAGAGAGAGAGAGAGAGATTTGATCACTTGTTTCTAGAGCTTGGGCTTCCATACATGGAAATTCACCATTTGGGTCAGCAGCCTGGATCTTTGGCCCATGTTTTAATATTATTCATTTTATAGGCCCAACGTATTTCTTTTCCTGATAGCTTTGTTTTTTATTCTTTACAACTCTTGGAAGAGGGAGACACGGGTCTCTTCGGCAAAAACGAATCGAGTGGAGTCTGGCCTCTTTCTCCTTTGGAATTTTAATGAATTTCTCTGGCTCGTTCCAAAAAAAAAAAAAAAAAAACAGAGAGAATGTAGAAGGATATACGAACAAAAGAACAGAATGTTTAAGAACAATATTGAAAGGTAGAATTAAGGGGAAAAACAAATAAAGATAATTTATCATAATATTCTCTTTATTCTTAGTTTTCCGACTTTATAGATGTCAAAGGTTTCATATATATATTCCACTTTCATCAGTGATCACAATCAAACTAAAAAAGCACATAGGGCTAGTAAACAAATGCCCTAATCCCTGTACTATATAATTTATGCTATTTATATATTGGCTAAAAACTATGCTCCAAACACGCTAGAAATTAAGATTAAGCTGCAGAAGGTATATTCATGTGGTTAACCACCCCATCCTCAGTCAATGCCTCTATTAGGGGTCCAAGTTTTTCTTGAGCAACAGGCACAGTGGCATTCTTGAAATCCAGGGACTCATCCTCATATATTTCCCACCATTTTTTCACCAAAACCTTGATGTCCTCTCTATCCATGTTTTCTTCTTTTCCAGTATACCTCCATGGCTTTGCACCCTAGCAGTTTGAACAAAATGAAAATCAATTAAAATATCTGTATAGATCAATATGTTGAAAGAACTGTACTTCTAACCGTGAATTCTCTTACCGCAGCACAGTAGTGGACAACCTTCACTTTGTCAAGGTCGAATTTATCAGGATGGCGCCACAGCATAGCCGAAACAAGGTTGTAGACAGGAGGGATAGGCTGGTATACATCCCTGAAGAACATGTTCAGAAAATCCTGCAAATCACAAGTAAAAAAAAAAATAACGGTGATAAATTAATTAAAAAATGAAAAATCTAATCTTTTCTGGAATATCCGGAAAATAAGGGTGCATATATATAAGAAAGCCTTCCAAAGAATAATAATAATAATAAATATCCTAAACAGGCAAGATTAATTACCTGCTCAGCAAATGAGGTAGGGGTGGTGGCTTTGAGGGTCTCCAAGAGATCAAAGTAAGTCTCGAGCTTAGGTTCATAGAGAAACATGCCAGCATTAAAGTATAGAGGAGGGGGTGAGCCCATCTCCAAAGGCCACTGAACTTTTTCAGGGCATTGCTGGCAGTATTTAATCTGATACTGAGGGGTGCTACTCCATGTCTTCTCACAAAAACAGTCCATCACAGCATAAAAATATCCAGGTGGCTTCTCAAAAAGATGATCAATATTGTCAAAGACTTGAATATCACCATCCAAGTATATCATCTTCCCATAGTCCACGAACTACAAACCACAAGAGAACCACATGAGATAGTGAATTAGAGGCCATCACATCAACATATAAATCCATCATGCAAAAAAAAAAAAAACTTCAGTAATTTTGATTAGGGATATGCCATGAGTGCTTCTCTGGAACACAAGTTAAGAGACATGATAACAGCCCACGTTTAGGCAATTGCATGGCTAATGCCTGATGGCCAACAATAATAGTAACATGTCTAGAAAAGAAGACGATTAGGGTTGATTAACTAATTACCTCCCAAATACGAAGTTTTGAGTAGTTAATCACATAATAAGCCATGGAAAACTGAGTCTGGTTCTCTGGTGGATACACGGGCTCAATCTCACGGACGATACAGCCCTGAGATTCTAGAATCTCGCGGTGCTCCTCGGGCACATCAGGCAAAGTCGCCACCACAAGAGGGTATACAGATTTCACTTTTCTTAAACCCTTGGCTAAACCCACCACACCTTTCACATAATCACCGTTTCCGGCCAAGAACGTAACATATGCTCTCTTCTGCAAGTCCGTCGCAGGCTCGATTATGGAAGCGGGAGACATTTTTTAAATAAGGTGATCAAGAAAGATGACCAGTAACAAAGAAAGCAAAGAAAGACTAATGGAAGTTGGTGTGAGGTTTAGGGCATGGAGTGTGCCTATATATATATATATATAAGCATCGAATGGTCGTGAGGTGAAAATGGCAAGGAGCTACTTTAGGTAAGATGATATTTTGTGTATCTATTTTCATAAATGTTCATTTAGATTCCAAAACGTGGCAAGTAAAGATATGCTGTTGGATTTTTAGAGGTTACATGCACTTGCCAGTTTCAGCATTTGACACCTCAAAACGGGAGGCGACGTTTTCCCTTTTTTGTTTCTTTATAGATTGATATATATATATATATATATATATAAAAAGAGTTGCAAAGGTGAGCAAATAGTATTCAGGAAAGTCTCGACTTCTTGAAGATGATTGTATCCGTCCACCACTATTAATGACATTCACACTTAAATGTATCGATATACGTACAAATTCTCCTCTAATTTACATGAGATTTTAGGTATAACATATTAATAATTCTAAATACATAGAAAGATGATTTTAATTCATTCTTCTTAACCACTACACTAACTTTTTAAGTTTCTATTTTTAAGTATTTTAAATTTAAATTTCATACATAAGATTTGGCTGGAACAAACATGTCTTGCCAAGGTTTAATGCTTTTATTGTAAGAGAATGCCACAATATTTTGTCAGCTTTACAGTGATGACCAATTTGATTTTCAATACGATTTTTTTTATGTTTTACTAACTACTCAATATCAATGCTAAACTCATTCCATGACGGATAAATTGAACATATGTATTAAAAGGAGATGATTTATTCGAATGGTAATTAACAACAAAATAAATATGATAATGTAATTATAAATAGCTTGAGAGAAAATGGGAAACTATCTATTGTCTAGAACAAGATATATTTTTTTTATTAGGTTAGACATTTAGTTAATATCTCAAAATAGAAGGAACAAATATAAAAAAGATAGAAATATGTTTGGTTAAAAAGATAGAGATAAAAGTATAAGATAAATTTATTTCTAAAATAATTTTGGATCCTATTTGTTTGTTAGAAAATAATTTTTTTTAGAAAGTAATTTTCATGGAAAGTGAATTATTGAAAAATAAATTATTTTTTTATATTTAGTAATGTTATAAAAAATAAGTTAAAAAATATTTTTTAGTGTTTGACTATGTCGTAAAAATAAGCTTAAAAATAACTTATTAAAATTTTAATTTTTTTTCAATTTTATTAAAATATAAAGATCAAATTTGATAAAATAAAAAGTTGAAGAAGAAAAAACTTTAAAAAAAAATATAAATCATTTCAAATAAAAAAATATACTACTAAGTATTGGATTAATTCAGATTTTATATCCTACTCTTTCAAACTCACATCTTGGATCCTAACATGTTTTATATACATACATATATATATACATACATATATATATATACATATATATATATATATATATACATATATATATATATATATGAGTTGGGTGATGGAATTAGCTTGTTTTAATAATTTTGTTATTTTTTAAATATTTTTTTTAACTACCCAAAAAATAGATATTCACAAATATTTGCACCAACTAAGTATAAAGACATTTATTATAAATTATGGTAAATCATATTTATCAAACTAAAACAAATTACATAGTCCAGTCCAAAAAAAATAAAATGTTAAATTAAAAAATTAAAAAAATTAACATGAAAAATAAGTACAAATGAAAAATCAAAATAAAATAAAAAGCCTAGACAAACAAGATTTGATTAATTGTGCAAGATAAATGGAAAAAAAGACCTAAATAAAACTTTCATCATAAGATAAGATTCATTGATAAAAAAAAAAAAACAAGTTTTGTTGTTGAAAAATATCCATTTTAACCTTCCTCTTTCCTCCATATGTTGGCCACTCTTTTTGCTCTTCCTCTTATCTCTTAAAAACATGGATTAAAATATAAAAAAAGTAAATTTTTAAATTGAAATATAAAAAACCTATAAAATCAAAATAAAATTAATAAAAAATCAATTTAGTAAAAATATGCTAAAAACACGTCTTAGCTACAATAAAAAAAAAAACCTTGAACATTGTTAAATCATAAAATTTGGCTCTTGAATTTCAATTAATCCCAATAAAGAAAATCAAACTTGATTTTTCCAAATTGAGGACCAATTTAATAATTGGTTTTTTCCTAAACACCGTAGAATAACCGCGCGAGGTTAATTGGGACAAATCCCCAAACTAAACTTTAAAAGAAATAAAATCAAAATGATGAAATAAAAAAAATAAGTGACTAAAAAAACAAAGGATGAAAGAAAAAAACTAGGCATTATTACAATTTATAATAATTTCGTGCTTGTGTGAATAATGATTTTTTAGATGGTTTAGGTTTTTAATTTTTAATGTAATTGTAGTTGTAGTTCGTAATGTATAATATAACATATTAATTTTCCACGTTAGCTTTTAACATGAGAGTAAAAGTAGACCGGAGAGTTCTTGACTAGGTTTCAAGTGTATTTTTTGTAATTTTAATCCCCTTGCCACTATGTTGATGGGATTCTCTTAATAGTATTCATGGCATGTCACGGTAAAAAAAAAAAAAAAAAAAAACATATTATTATTAGCTATAAACTAAAAGAGAGAGAAGATTTTATTGTACTCTATAAAATACTATTTATTTGAATAGTATTTTGTATTTTTTTCCATTGATTTTTTTCTCCTATTGTTCATAATTTATTTTCTTTAATTATGTTTCCTTATTTATTCCTTGTCAGTCATCATCGAGAATCTCTTTCTCCCTCAAGTCGAATTTCCATATTTTATATATTCTCTGCTAAGATTTGCACCAAATTAGAACCTCTATAAACTTTCGAACCGTCAAATTTTAATTTAACATGGCTATTACAATTCAAGGACTGTTATGGAATTTGTTTTCTATCTTCTAACTTCACATTTCTATTTTTTATTTTAATTCTTAATTGAAAAAATAGAGAAATATATATTTTTAAAATATTTTATAAACTAGAAAATTGGAAAACATGTTCAATGTAGTTGCTTTCTATCTTAAAAAAAAATAAAGATTAAGTTAAACAAAATCGAAACTTTAAGGACTAAACAAAAAACCTACCGACCATCTTCCACCTCCGTCAACTTGGTTAACAGTACCTCGTGGGAATCTGGGTAATGGTGAACCTTTTTGCCACCCAAATTTACCCTTCATTTCCATCAAATCTTGATACAATCAGATGAATAAAACATAATCCATATCATTATTTCTAGAAACCCAGCATTTGTCACGCTAAAAAGAAAAGAAAATCGAACCTTAGACAGAAGGAAAGTGGGTCAAAATGGATTTTGAACTACGATCTGTAAAATGGACATCAAATATCATCAAAATCTCAAGATTATGAGAGAAGCTCTTGGAGACCAAATTAAAACTTATCCCTCACTTCAACAACAAACCATCCTCTTCTCCAAACTCAAAACAAACCAACAAAAGCCATTGCAAACCATCTTATGAGCTTTAGCAGATGACCCAATTCAGTATTTCTTTCACTAGCTTCACTATCACAACGGGTATTTCTCATCAAAAGCCATTGTTATTCCTCACTTGATTTCTGTTAATCTATCAGAAGTAGCCAGGAATTGTTTTACATTACCACGGTTACTCTGATATTGAATAATTTTTTATTTTATTTTTTAAATTTTATTTTTAATATCAATATATTAAAACAATTTATAATTTTTTTAAAAAATAAAAAATGAAATTTTAAAAATAACAGCTTTAAAAAGAATAGGGAAATGCGTGTTTTCACTTGGAAAACACAAGGAAAAATAATACTGCACCTAGGAAAGAAAACTAGAAAATACACGTTTTCAGATTTCCAATTAAAAAAAAAAAATCCTATTTTTCTTTTCATTTTCTCGTAGTTTTTTCTTAAGTCCAGCAATGGAGATAATCCCGCATGTATAAAAGACTCACTTCCACATTTCGCATAATATATACTTGTGATGAAGTGGAGACGAGAAAGCTTTTTTAATTGCTTGGGTCATTTTTTACTCGAAGCTTTAATGGAGAGGCTTTTGACACTACCTGCCCTAGCTAATTTCAACCATTCAAAATATCGAATTGAGTGAATTAGTAAGAACACATTACTCTGTTTTGTCTCTTCCTCTTGTATTTTCAAATTGTCAGGGCTACAAGAATGCCACCTTTACGAGGAAATCCTGTTTCCATTTCTATTTGTGTTTTATAAGAATATTTACGATTTTTTTAATAATAATGAGCATTTTTATAATTTTGTGATGTATATATACAGGGAGAGGGGGTGGCGGGGATCCACGTAAAAAATTAGGTTTATATATTTTATGCACCATTGATTGTTATGAATCTAACGGTTAATATGTTGTAGTTACTTTTTATTAAAAAAAAAATTGTAATAGGTGCATAAGTCGAAGAACAATGCTATTTTTTTAATTAAAAATAAGAGCGGTTGTGCAATAACACTTTTAATAGAAGAGTATTGGTGGATTCCGAATGAATTTAACTCAGAATCTTTCTGACTCTATTGGGAGCAATTCATGAAAAGGTGTGGGCGCTATCTATCTCTGCTAAAAAAAATCTGAAATCTGGGATGACTTTATGAAAGTTAAGGCGGTGGCTGGACTCTGATATCTTTTAGCATATTTGTATTCCTGAACACTGTTCCATACGTTTCAAACACCGTAAGTGTAAAAGATGCAAAGCTCTACATTACTATACATTATTTAGGCCCTTGAAGTAGTTCCATACGGTTCAAACACCGTACAGAAGACCAAGCTCGGCGTTAAACTTTAAAACTTCTCCAGTGACATGCTCAAAGTCGAAGACTCACTGTGTCCTTTACTACAGCTCACTATAGCACCAATGGGAAATGTCATATTCAACCGTTACGTACATCAATAGCATTTCTTTTAGGCCAGGATTTATAAATATATTAGATTAAAGTTTAAATATGAATAGTTTATTGTAAAATTAAGATTATAATTCAAAAATAATTAATATGAATTAGTA